AATTGATTAGAGCAGCACGAATGGACTGAGACATCATGCATTACTCAGATTTTGCAGAACGAACACAGAGGAGTAGTACTTCCTCTCACTGATGACATATTACTTCTCTGAATTACAGCAAAGTTTCATTGGCTTTGATGCCTGCGGTTAGTATTAGTAAAAAATCTATCACTGTATGCATATGATAGTTGCCTTTAAAGGACATATGAAAATTAATCATCATTATCATACTCTAATCAATGTCATGAAATCATATTATGATTAACAGATTGACTGTACATGGACTAGGATAGGGCAGCTGTGAGCTCGTAAGACCCCTTGGTAAGCAGTACGAAATGGCACTTCTGGTGGATGCATCCCCGAGGGGACAGGCTGGGATAGGCCAGGGGAGCATGGGCTAGATTTGAGCAGTTACCTCTTGGGCAAAGCATAACCTGCACATCCATCTGCAGAAGCCTTGGGAAGGAGCCTTAAAAGTCTTTCAAGAAAGGCAATCATACTATGGTGGGAAAATGGTAGCCTTGACATTATACAAATGCAGGTTGAATCCTTTCTCCATCACTTATTAATAATGTGGTCTGAGGAGGTTCGTTAAGTTCCCTGAAGCTACGTTGCCCATCTGTAAATTAAAGACAATAATATGTATCTTGAATAAATTGTCAGAATTAGGGAGAAAATATGCAGAGGACCTGGCCCACGCTAGAAGGTAGTCATGATCACCTAGTGTAACGTTCTCATTTTATAAAGGAGGAAATGGAGAGCTCGAAAGGGCTGGGCCTCCTATTCACATGTTTCCTCTGTTTGACCTTCAGCCATTATCAAGCCTGACTTCATTTTTCTAAGTGTGGGGAAAAATATAACCATTTCAATGGGCTCTGTGTATGAGATTTTACTTTCTTACCATTTATATATTTACAGCACATTCTGGTGACTTCGATAATCTGAGACTTAATTTCTAGGCAGAAATTTTTTTTATATTCAGCATATGTCATATTAACAGCAGGGAACCAGTCAAGTCTGCTATTTGGTGGGGAGGGATGAGAGCCTATGAATCAACTTGGCTACTTCCTAAGAGGGAACGGAAAGGTGTCCCCAGGATCCCATGGGGGCAGAATGCTCTTGTGACACCAGGTGAGGCTCCTAGGCCGCAGGTGGGTGGCTCAGCAGGGGAGCCTGGCTATGCACCAGCAGACAGGCGGGCTGGAGGCAGGATCTGGTGGTCACTCACGGATCTGAAGCCAGTAGAATCCAAGATGAGGACAAGTCCTCTAGGTAGTGACCTGGCCCTGGCCAGCAGAGAGAACACTTCATCTGTTCCTCCAGCTTCAGACTGCCCTGGGAAGGCAGTAGGGCAGGCAGCAGCAGGGAGGACAGGAGCCCAAAGAGCCCAGCCAGTGCACCCCCAGAACCAGCAGGAGGCCAGGGGACCCTTCCCAGAAGTGAAGAGTATGCGTGTGCATGCCTTCCTCTCCCATAACCCTAGAACTGCCTTCCGGAGAGAGGTTATCTGAGGAACCCGACACTTTATCTTAGAGCAGCTTAACATTACCTGGAAGGAGGGCATAAATGATCAAGTTGGGTTACACTTCAATTGGACTGGGTCTTTATTATTATTTTTTCTTTACTCATGAAATGACCAGATTAACTGTAGTCAAAATAAAGGAGCTTACATTTTCTCTGGACATTTCAGTGATCACGCAAGTGAATTGTGCGATCCAGACATTTAATCGCCTTTCTTCCCACTGCCCCCCCAACTCCTAACACAACTCACTAAAGTCCACATAGGGATCTCTCCCACAGTCACCCTGAGAATGTCTTTCAGACTGAACCTGATTATCTCCAGTAACATTACACTGCTACCTGAGGGGTAATGGTTTGAAGATTTTAAGGTGTTATAAACACTTCTCGAACTCAAAAACTTTGGACTCTGTCACTGGAAAAATGCACACACATACAAAAGCCTGCACTTTGACTCCCTGGGACGCATTCATTTTGATCCAGGTACCATCCTGATAAGGGAATTCTGCTGTTAGAAGCAACAGCCAGCACAGTGGCCCTGCATGGTGGTCTGCTGTATCTGAAGGCAGTGATCAGGTTGAAGGCTATGGCTGGGCTCACGTTTTTAGTAGCTCCAGCACTGACATTTCCACTTGTTTTCAAGACAGGGCACTGCAGTCTGTCACCATCTTTTGGATCCATCTTCTGTCACATTAACTATCCTTTCTAGCCATGTGTCATCTGCATATTTGATGAGTGACATTGGTCTACCAAATAGTGCTGAAGCTATGTCTGGGATAGAGATAGAGGACTGGGACAGATAGCGCCAGCAGGGAATCACAAGCAATTAGAGTAGAAGAGATGCCATGGAAATTTCCTGAAGCTCTGCATTAAGCAAAGGCAGACTGAGTCCAAATCAGGTATCATTTTAGATGGAGCTAATTTGGGGGATTAGATAACTTACTTGGCATGGAGACAGGAGATCTGAGAGAGGATTAACCCAAGCTGGCATCATAGGAAAATGAATTAATAGAGTTGTGTACTCTACAAGTGAGCTTTTTCCAGAGAAATAGAACCAATAGGTTGTGTGTGTGTGTGTGTGTGTGTGTGATGTATACAAAGACAGAGTGAGAAAGAGAGACAGAAAGAGAGACAGAAATGGAGAAGGAAAGAGAGAGATAGAATTTTTTTATTCAAGAATTGGTTTGCATAATGAACCAATGGTAGAGACTTGCAAGTTCAAACTCTGCAGGATAGGCGGGCCTTCTGGAGATCCGGGGAAGAGCTGCAGTTTGAGTCCAGTGGCAGTTTGCTTGCAGAATTCCAAATCCCTTAGGGGAGAACAGGCTTTTTATACAGGCCTTCAACTGATGGGATGAGGCACACCCCACGGTGGAGGGCAATCTGCTTGACTCACAGTCTTCTGACTTAATCATTAGTTCCATCCAAGAAAAAAATTTCATCCAAAAACCTTCACAGAAACATCTAAAATAGACCAAATATCGGGGCACTATGGCCTAGCCAAGTCACCATATATAATTAATCATCACAGTTTCACTTAGGAAAACCCAGCACAAAATAGCTGGGCTTATCTATGTGTTATTAGAGCAACATTCTAATTCCAGTGGGTATTCACATGCTTCCAAGCCCTCCTGGTAATGTCATCCCATGTACCTCCCTCTCATTAATGACTCATCCTGGAATGCCCTTCTCTAACCCTACTTCACCACTGGAAAAAGTCTACTCATCTTCCAAAGTTCAGATCAACTGTCAACTCTGTGATACTTTCTTTAATATCACACCACATCCCTATGAATTAATTCCTTCTTTGGTCCTTTTCGCGCGTACTATTATATCATCAGTCACATTGCCTTGCAATTGCTTGCCCACCAAGCAGCAGATTAGCAACGTGGTTACAAGTATAAACTCCAGTCCTCAACTTCCCTGATTGAATTTCTAATCTCAGCAAGCTCCCACCCTCTCTATGCTTTAGTTTCTTCGTCTTTAAAATGGGACTAAAGTATTATGGAAAATATGAATTTGTAGTGAGGACTTAACATGTAAAACTCTTAGAACAGTGTCTAGTATGTAGTAACCACTTAAAAAAAGAGGTGGGTACTTTTCACTCATTGTCATTGTTGCTGAGTCCTGTGTCATGTGTAAAGATTAGGTGTTTCTGGAGGGCAGGACATTATGTTATGCCTCTTTGCAACCCCCAGTATTGTCTGGAATAGAGCAGGGTTGTGTAGGCATTTATTGGAGTGTTCAGTACCTTATATTTGCAGAGAGCTCTAATTGTAGATGCATATTACATTGATACAAAAGCTGGCAGCATTGCCACACATATAAACTTCTTTACAACCTCATGAGATTGTTACTATCCCCATTTTATGGATGAAGAAGTAGACAGTAAGTGATCCATCCACTGTCATGCACAGCTGGCAAGTGACAGAATCTCCAACTCCACCCCAGTGAAAGAGAAGGACAGAGACGCCAGAAATCTGGGAACATTTCCTTTTCTGGCCCCGGGACCACCCTCCCTCCTTCTGCTTCCTCTTCTTACTGCCAAGAACTGGACATTCCGGCCTGCAGGCCTGCAAAAACCCGGTGTCTCCATTCGCACTACAAAACTGACTTAGGAAAAGGTGTGAGCAGGAGAAGGTGATTAATACAAGATATCCTCAGCTGTGACTGTGGCCTCTTCTATTTTGGTCTGAATCTCTGGGAGGGGAATTTGACTGATTGCCACCACAACCAAGTTTGCAGCATGGGCCGAGGCGCTGGCCACGCAGATCCAAAACGACTCCTCGTACTGTTCTTCCACCACCACGAAGCGAAAGAGCTTCTCCTGGAAGTTGGCGATTCGTTCTGTGAGGTCGTGAAATTTCACCGCGGCCATGAAGCTGGCTATGGCCAGTGCCACGACTCCGCCTGAAACCCCAAAACGTCACTCTCATTCACAGCTCCTTTTTGCAGATGTAATAACTCTACGCGAGGAGGCATTTCTGTGGCACAGGCAACAAACTGGCTTTGGATTTTTAAAATTATTAGGGAACATGAATATGAATTACCTTTTAAAAGCAGCAAATAACTTACACAGTAGGTTAAGGGCAAGAGATGTGGGAGAGAGAGAAGCTTCCTATCAGATTGACTTTGAATCTTGACCTCTCTAATATCCTCCCTTATTCAAGCCAGGGTATCTGCGTTTGGATAAATTCAATCTCTAGATATTTTAGCATTTAGATGTAGTTAAGGCTATGTGGGAAGGGATAAGAACACCTTAGTGTAGGGATTGGGGTTTCAGTGGAGGGCTAGACTGTTCTCTCCTCTTTAATGATCCTTTTTCCTTGTTTGGAATGAGAAAAGATGGAAAAAGTAGAGAAGGATTCCAAACCGCATATGCTTCCCTACCTGTTGCTCCAAACTCTAACCTTCTGGTGTTCCTTCCCATCCTCTCCCTCTCTCTCTATTTTTCTATTGCCTTGATTTTTATTAATATTTTAAAAACACATTTATTATCCTTTTGGTTTAGGTTATTACATCTTCACTGAAGAAAATTTGGACATCAGAGAAAAAAATCATAAAGGTGAAAATAGAAATTTACTTTTATCCTAAAAGCCAGGTATAAAATAAACACTTTGAGCATTTTAAGTTTTATTTCTTTACACTTCTTTCTCTTTAACAAAATTGTATTATGGATCTCTTACCATTTTACACTTGATTTTTTTCCCCTTAAGCATTTTCCTATGTCGTTAAATTTTCTACTACAGCACCATTCTAAACTGGTGCATGATGTTCTCCTAATGACACACAATTAAGTAATTTCTTTAAATTTAATAAAGTGTGACCTTATTTCTGTACATCTAGATTGCTTCTAAGTTTTTGGTATAAAATGCTGCAGGAAACACATTTTTATGTACATTTTGTGCTCTTGTCCACCTATTTTAGCAGAAATCCCTATTTGGAATTGTTTAATCAAAGGAAATTCATTTTTTTATCCCTTTCGATATTAAAATTTTGTGAAATTGCTTTTTAAAAATATTCTCAGCAGTAGAGCTTGAGAATTCCATCTCTCTGAGGAAGGAAATTGACACAGATAAACATTTATTTAAAAAGCAGGATTGAGCACTGTTTATATGCCAGCCGGTGAGGATTCATGAAGTAGTTTTGGTGGGGGTGAGCCATGTAGATAAGCAATTCTACAGGGTGGCCACAGTTTGCACACATAGGTAAATACACAAAAATTGATTTACTGACATTACACTACAATACATGTTTTACATGATAAAACACCATTAGCTATTTTTATACTTTATGGTCACCCTGTATAGGGCTAAGGTAGTGAGGGTTTTGCCACAATAATATCTTGGTCATTTGAGCTGGGTTTTCTAAAACGCTCTCATTACTTGAGATTTTATTATTTTCATTACCTATAATTCTTATAAGTACATAACTAAATGTGAATTAATTTCTCTGTTTCAATATGCACCCAGTCAACACACACACACCTTTTGTCTTGGTTTCGGTCTTGGAAGATAGATCACAATGGTCATAAGTGATATCATGGATTAATGAAAGACAAAGGGCTTAAATTCAACTGTACCTGGGTTGGAATCCCACTCATCACTGTGTGACTTTTGGTGTAGCTTTTAACTTCTCTGAGCTTCATACTCTTTATCAGTAAATGATCTAATAATATTGCCTCACAGGGAAGTTGTGAGGTGTAAACAAAATAAGCCATGCAAAATCCTAGGTCCCTTCTCTCTCACGGTTTGTGAGGGCTCCTCCCCACTCCCTGGAGGCTGTTCCATCTCTGCCCTCCACATCCACATCTTCACCCCCATTTCCCTGTCTCTCTCTCTTCTCCTCTCACCCTGACTTCTCTTTGCTGCTCTAAGTCCTCAGCCACTCACACATCCTAACAATTTGGCTCTTAGTTGTGACAGACACCCTGCAACTTTCAGTAAAGAGGACATTCATGCCCAGCAGGAAGGTCACAGACCCTGGGAAGTGAGGGGATGACATGGGGCATTTTGATTCCTTTACACTTTGTGCCCATCTACTTGGGACTCAGCCTGGTGATGGCGTGGACATGAATTTCTCTCCCCAGGGGCTTTCCTTACCTGCAAGGACATTCCATAGGCAGATGCCCCCGGGGCCACTGACTGCCCTGTAGGGAACCTGGACCATGTTGAGGATGGCAAAGCCCATGCTGACCAGAGACAGAGCCAAGGCCAGGAAGAGGAGCAGCAGGACCATCACGTGGAGGCCGGCGTTGAGCTCCCTCACCAGGTGTGGGAAGACTGGGGAGAGAAGACACAGCCAATATTTCAACGTCAGAGCTTGGCTCGAGTTTCTAAGTCCAAGCTTGCTTACCGTGCAGCCTTTAACAGTAGGGATCGTGGGCAGGCAGCAAGGGCTGGGTTTTCAAAAAGCAAGAGACTTCCCGAGATGGAGTCATAGCCCCCAGATTTGTCACTTGTCAGCTGAATGACAATTCTCTTCTCTCTTCCTTGGAGCGGATGCAAAATCAAAATATGCCCCAGTTGGCAATTTAAGTTGCATGGACCACAAAGCCCTGGGGTTTGGTTGTGAGATGATGCACATAAGCCCTGGATGGTGTCTCTTTAGCCAAGGAGGCTGGCAAAAGTCAGTTAAAGAAGGCTGATCACAGAGCTTTCATCTGGGTCAGATTGTTGCCTCATTCACTCCAAGAGGTGTAAGAGGTCCCCTGTGTATCTGTGGAGTGTAAAAGGTTGTAGCACAGTGAAGTCTAGATCTGGCATCCAAAGACCTGAGTTCAAATCCCAGTTTTGCTGGTGTGCCACAACTATAGAATAGGATCCTCTGGAACCTGCCTTCCCTATCCGTCTTACAAGGTTGTTGAGGTTATCAAATGAAGTGCATAGGAATAGTAATAGTGCCCATTTAGTGGGCATTAATGAGAAGCCAGGACCATCATTTTGGGTTCCTCATAATGACTCAGCAAGGCAGACATTATTTCCCCATGTATTATGGACTCTTCAGTCTCATGTTGCATAATACTCTATTAGAATATAAATTTTCCACATTAATGAGGCTGGATAACTTAGTGACATACTAATTTGTATTGGTTTTTTCTATATTTGCTACCCCACACCAGCTGTAAAGATGAAATGATATAGAAAACTCCAAACACTGCCCAGCAAAGAGTCAGTTTGAAAAAATGGCAACTGTCGTCGTCGCCATTATTATTTTTACTCTCTGACTTGGGAAGAGCCATGTGCCTTCTCAGAGCCTCAGTTTCCTCACCAGTACAATGGGGTCAGTGATATGAATTGAGCATCTTCAACATTTACCGAGCACAGTCATGGGCTGGGCCTTTTACCTCTATTATTTCATTCATCCCTTGTGAGAAGATGAGGTAGAGTTTATCGAACTCCTTTCCCACAGGCTTGGAGACACATTAAGTCCCTTATCTTTGGGCAAGGTGACCCTGAGCTCTATGTAGGATTAAAATCCTTTATACCATATGGTATATGGAGTGGAGAGTCATTGTTTTGGATACTTAGAAATGAAGAATTTAAAATGGTGAAAGCTAAAGCCCTGGGCACACCCTTTCCTCTGCAGCTACTACAAGGTTCCCCCTCAACACCTCATTTTGGGAGCTCCACCTTCCCTGCTTCATCATTTGATATCACTGACCTGCCGCTGCTAGTTAGGAGTCCAAGTTCTCTTGGCTCCACTCACTCCCCAAACCGTTTTCCCCTCTGGCCTCTTTGCTAGCTCACCTGCCTCCCTTTAAACACAGACATTGGTGTCTCCCAAGCTGGAGACCTAGAATTTTTGTTCTTTTCCCTTTAAAGTGTCCTTTCCATCCGGAAGTTTCCAGACACTCCATGTTTACGTCTTTAGTTCTGATCTAACTTTCCAGCTCTGTATTTCCATTTATATTTATCTCTAGGTGGTTATCTCATTGGCACTGGAAACTTTACCCTGGAAAATGAGCTTCTTTCCAAGAGATTTTTCTTTGAGAGCCTTCCCTCTAACCTTTGCTTTTCTTCCATCTCTGTGTCCCTTAGGGTTTTTTTCTCTTTTCTTTTCAAACTCTCAGCCCCTTTTTCTTCCAAACATGGTAGCTTATGCCTCATTACCTAATTGTTTCATTATCCCCTTTCTTGCTTATGCAATCCAGCATGAATAACTAGCATTATAATCCTTACCAAACACATAAAATAGAAGATAATCACCCATGTGATTCACAAAGATCAAAAGTTTGCTGATGCATTGAGATGATGAAAATGTAGGGAAGGAGGCTCAGTCAAACCTGCAGGATATTAATTCATATCAACCTCCTCAGAGAGCGATTTGACAAAGTCTATCAAAGCAATTTCACTTCTAGGAAAAGCACCTCCACATGTACTCAAAGTTGTATATATTGGAAATTCATCAGAGGAGCAAAAGGTTGGAGAGCAACCAAAATATGAATCAAAGGATTGCTATAATAAATTAAGCTGCAGCCACACAATGCAATTTTCAAAAAGAATTAATCATATCCATATAATAATATGAATCCATCTCCAGAACTGATTCAATAAAAATTGAGAAATAACCCTATTAGGATGATGGGGGAAAAGGAATTTGGGGCATATGGAGTGATGTGGGGAGGGGTGGAGAAAGAATACCTAATCCTTAGCTTCCAAAGTGGGAAATGTATTGACTATATAAAAAAAATCTTAATTTGGCAAAGGTTGAATCTCATTCAGCCCCCACATTCACAGGCCATGCCTCAATCTCCAGATCTCCCAGTTAATTAAGATATTAGTATTTTTCACGTATGTCATTATTTAAAAATTCAAATCTTTTGGTTCCTTCCATGAATGATTATTATTATTTTTTAGCAATAGATCCTTCTTTAATACTCAAATTGAAAGTCAGAAATAAGACACAGAATACATGTCCCAACATGCCTTAAACAAACATGTTTTGTCACAGCATATATAAACTTCATGTAAAATAATTCATTATATAAGGGGCCTCTGTTATTTTTAATCCTGAGTGCCTTTAGGAAATATAATTACAAAGAACTCCACAACCCAACTTTGTATATATGAAGCATGACATCGTTTTTAATCCATTATAAAACGACACTATTTCATTCAGCTTCAGAACCATCTTTAAGTTTAGAGTCCCTGCTCTTTATTAGCAAGGAAGCAAGAAAACCAAGCCTCTGGGAAGCCCAGTGATTTGCTCAGCGTCATAGAACCAGTAACTTTGAAGTCCTATAACTAGTAACTAGTAAGTAGAACATGGCTTGTTTGACTTCAAAGCTGCGGTCCTTTCAACTCTACCACCCGGACAAAATAAACTGATTTGCTTTGTGAATAATTTTGAAGCTTCTATACAAAGCATTACATCGGGAATTGTTTGTGAATGATTTTTTGAGGGGTGCCTCCACCTTTGGTCCTGTCACACCGGGTGGTCCCAGGAAAACTGTTGCTTGCTGGCCTTTCATATTTGTACCCAGTTTCCAAAAGTTTTAGATGCATCTGACTTACTGGTTAAATTTATGTTTCCAGCTTGAAATCTATGGCCATGAAAGCATATGATCCATGGTGATAAATAATGGAGTGCAGAGTATGTGCCAGGCACAAACACATATTCTGTTAATCGTCGTGGCAACCTTCTGTCATTCTTACAAATGAAGAAATGAAAAGTTAAATTTCTTACCCATGATCACTCAAGCCAAGAAGTGCTAGCTTTACTACTTAGCTATAGGACTTCTAGTAGAAAAATGAGATACTTTGGATAAGTAAAGATGTGAAGTTTTAATGCTAGTACAGCTAGAATTAGAGAGGTCTTGTATGAATTTGAATAAATACTCTCATTTTGTATACATTGGAGTCACCTCACTTGAATACCAGAAGTGATCAATCATTCTATCAGCATCTAAAGTTAGATAATTATCGAATTATTGGATAACTTGTTTGCTCTGATCCCAGCAAAACCCAGCAGTCTCTTTTGCACCAGTAAGGCAAATAAGAAAAGACAAGATTTGAAGTCAGACCTAGGTCTTGGCTGCTGATGGAATACTTGTGGGGTGGGAGGTGGACTGGGAACCAGACAGCAGGCACAATGTTGGGTACTTTTACAGAAATTACTTCATTAATTGATTTCTCTGTTTATCAGTTTCCTCATCAGCAAAACAAGCATGATAAAATCTCTCCTCTGGCATACTAAAGTTTAAAGGAAATGCACTAGAGGGGGCAGCTTGAGACGTGAATGTGTCATGTGCCCAGAACTCACTATTGTGCTTCTCCTTTCCCAGATGGCAAGCCCTTGTCTGTTCTGGCCATCCCTGTTTTCCTATTGGTGCTGGGCCCCTCAATACTCAATAGGATAGACGAATGTGCTAAATCTCTGTTCCACATTTTCCTTTCTCAACTGCTCAAACTGCTAGGTTAACTTGTTTTTCTTTCAAAAGATCTGGGTATAAAAATGGACCTTAATTATGGCTGTGATTAATACTTCTTTGGTTTTCTCCATGATTGGTTTGGGAATTGATTTTCTTGGGTGATTTGATGGGAAATCTCTGTGAAGGTGAGCAGAGAGGGTCTTCTAATGAGACCCTACTGCACAGTTCACAGAGCACGTTCCAACCACCCATGTCCTCACATCTGAATATGGGCCTTGGGGTTAGGATTTTTTTTCTACAGATCAACAGGGACAGATGCAGGTAAATGCTGATTCCAGCTGGAGGATGGAGGCTCTGATACACCCTGTAGGTGCTCACACAGGTATGTTGTGCTGGCACCAGGAGCCGTAAATCTAAAGGTAGAGGGATTCACCCTGGAGCTAGAGAATGTTGTAACAGATGCAGTCTCCCTGAGCCAGACAGATCAGGAGGAACCTTGCCCCAGCTCCCAATGAGCATTTTCAAAGAGAATCATATCAAGAGCACTGTGAATGGACATTAACATACCCTCCTCTAGGAGCCCCCCATCCCCAGGGCAGGCAGAAACAAACCTTTCTTGAATATTATCCTATTCAGGGATAATATTAAAACCGCGTTATGATTCACATCATTCTGCTGTGATGCTTCAGAGAGCAGTCCATGTTAGATGAACCCAGGGAACTGTCTCCATGGGCATCCCTCAGAGAAGGAATAGGAAGGAGGGAGGAGGGAAAGGAACATTCATTGAGATCCTCCAGTGGGCAAACAGTGGTCATTTGCTTCTGGTTTCCAGCAGGAGGTTATTGACATTTCTGTGAGCTGGTATGGCAGGGGTTTCATTAGCCCCAAGTGCAAGGGCCCCTCCTTTGCCTGCTCCCCTTTGGCCCTCTCCTACTGCAATGTTGGTCTGTGCTTTAGCTGCTCCTCCAGAAACAGTGCTTGGTGACTTCCTGGATTATACTATGGTCATCATCTGCCATCTCACACCCTCTGCTTTGGGTGGCCTTGCAGCCACCGCCCCTAAAATGATATGCTGAAGTCATGACATCCAGCACTTCAGAATATGGCTTTATTTGGAAATAGGGTTTTTGCAGAGTTAAGTTAAAATAAGGTCATTGGGGGGCCCTAATCCAATACAACTGGTGTCCTTATAGAAAGGGGAAATTTGGACACCAAGACATGCACACAGGGAAGATAATGTGAAGAAATACAAGGAACACACCATGTTAGGATTAGAGTCATGCTGCTGCAAGCCAGGGAATGTCTGGGACCACCAGACGCTCCTTCTCCCATGCGCTTCAAGGGAGCATGGCCCTCTTGACATCCTGATACCAGTGGGTCAAATGGCAGAATATCGGGAATCACCTGCCTAGCCTGAGCCTGTTTATTATCAATGGATGTCTCAGAGCCTCCAGTGGATTCAGGGCAAAGGATGGAGAGATAATGGCAATTGGGGTGCTTTGTTATGGCAGCCCTGGGGCCACCCTCCCAGTAGTTTGGGTGACGGCTCCATCATTTCTGACAGCAGCTGTCTGCTCTTGATCACCACCACCTCCCCACTACGGTTTGCTGAGTTCCAGAACAGTAAGGACTACTAGGTGAACCCTCTTTGGGAAAGCTGCCAGTCATGAATTTCAGAAGGAGCAGCTTGTGGTAGAAGGTAGGAATTCTGGGGTCAGGCTACCCTGGGTGGGGGTCTGACTCAGGTACTCCTTACTCTGTGACCTTCAGCAAGTTGTTTAACCTCTCTGAACCTCAGTTTTCTCCTTCTATCTGGCAGGGTTATGCAGGATTAGTACAGCACAGGTCACCAGTCTGACATCTTGCATATGAACATTCAGTACAAATGAATTTAAAAGTACTTTATAGGTACACAGTCAAGCAATGTTTTTTGAGTGCCTAGCACAGGCTAGGCACTGTTCTGGAGGCTTGGGATCATCAATGAACAAAACAAGACCTTGCCCTCATGACACTACATTCTAAAGGGCTGGAGACAGATAATAAATAATAAACATAACAGATAAATAAATTAGTATGTAAGAGGCAACTATGGTGACATGATATATCATGCTATATAATTACCATGGGCTATTTTTATCATATTCCCTAAGCACTGTCTTGCTTATTAAAGTCTTTGGATTATTGCTGCTGTTGAATCTGTCACTCCCTTGTTGAACTTTGAAACTTCCTTTAGGAGGTTTGTTAATTTTAGTCACCTTTGGCAATTTAAAATTTTGTGCCATTCCCCTATTAAGAATTTTTTGTGTGGTTTTGAAACAATCTCAAATTTCAGAAAAATTGCAAGAACGGTACAAAGAAGTTTTTTTTTTCTTCTGAGCCATTTGAGGATAAATTTCCCCTTCATCACTTAATACTTTAGGGTCTATTTCCTCAAAAAGGCCATCCTCTTACATAACCCCAATCATTTGGTTAGCACTGGTACATGACTGATGCCTCATTCAAGTTCTATCAATTGTCCTGGTGATGTCTTTTAAGGAAAAGAGACCCAGTTCAGGGTCAAGTACTGCATATAGCTGTCATGGTCTCCTTGTAGCATACCTTTTATTTTTATTTGTTTATGTATACTTGTGTTTTTAGCTTTTTATGTTATGCTTTCAACGGAGCTATTTTTCTAATATCCTTGTCCCAGAAATTTTTTTCTTGACTGTATATGTAACAAATACATAGTCTCTTCATGTATATAAATGATGTCAATTTGTACTATTTTATTTATCAATGGTTCCAGCTTTCTGTCTTTCTACACTGAATAAGATACCTGGGCCAGGATCCTTGAAAGTACAATTCTGAAATTCAAAAATCAAATAATGAATACAATTTCCTATTCCCTTTGCATTAACCTTATGTTATGATTTTGTAGGACACTGTTCTTACCAGTGATCCAATTGGTCCTCAAGGCTTGTAGAATATTGCCCTGCTTTGTTTTTTTCTTCTCTGCAGACCCTTCATAGGCCAGGCTTGGATTCCTGCTCTGTTTACATCCAGAGCAGCTCCGATGAGGCACTGGATGCCAGCCTACATCTGTGCCTGCTCATGTTCACAGAGGGCAGTCCAGTGCCCTGTAAAATCTGAGTTGGGCTCTAACAGGGCCAGTATGATTCCAGAGCCCAGGCACAGAAGTCCTTTGCTTTTTCTCAGAATGTTAGGCTTGTAGGTAAACAGAAGTGGAAGTGGTTACCAGGTTCTCTGCAGGTTCATTTCTGCACAAAGTCTGCACCTCAAAGTTGTTCTGGACTCAAAGTTGTTCTGGCTGAAAACCCTCAAGTCACATGGCTTGGGGCTGAGGTCGGGCTCTGCTGTTCCTGGCTGAGTGATCTTGGGCAAGTTATGTAATACCTCCAAGCCTCAGTGTAGTCCTCTGCAAAATGGGAACATTAATAATTCCTTTCTTATAAATTTGTTAAAGGGCTTAAAAGAGACAAGGCGTGTGAAGCACTTAGCAGAATGTCTGACACAGGTAAGCACTCAGTATTTTAATAGTTATTATCAATAGAGGTAACTACAAAGATATATGAATCCCTATTGCTAATGTTTCTATGAGCCTCTACAAAAGAAAAAGAAGTCTCTCAGTGCTGAACAAGAGCTGTAGCGTAGCTATGCACTTTGTCATTATTCCACAGTTTGAGGCAGCCATAGATTGCCACATTTAGATATAAGCACCTTACACATTTTAAAAAGTAAGTGTTCTAAAGCAGCTTTCATGCCCCAAACATACTCACTTGTGAATTGGGACTGGCGGCCTCCGAGCCCGCACTGGCGCACCTTACACCCTCGGAAGAGCCCGTAGTAAATGTCCCCAATGAACATGACCAGCTCCAGATCGGTGGCGTTGACCAGGTCCACTCCAGTCTGACAAAGGATTTTCCCACTGAGCCAGTGGGGCACTGCCAGGGCCACAATAATCAGGATGAAGGAGGAGAAGCTGAGTAAAGATGCCAGCCCATACCACACCTTTTTGAAGCATCCAGGCATGCTAGTGGGTGCAGGTCACTCCCCAGGTGTCCGAGTGACGGCAGGGGGTCACTGACATCTTCCGGACACTCTACAATCCCTTGCTCCAAGGGCAGCTTCTCCAAACACACCATTTCCAGATTCCAAGTCCATCCCCTGGTCCTCCCTCAGCGCCTGCCTCCGCAGGCCGTGTTTACTACAACCGCATCCGGAAGTCTCTGCAGAGACCGGCTTCACCCGATTCAAGTGTACAGGAGTGTGTCGCTGAAGGAGGTAACCCTATATCTGCCGGGAGACTAGTGTTTCAGCAGAGGGTTTAATCGTTCCTCATTTCAAGTGTATAAATAACCCTGGTGTGGACCTCTTAATGACAAGCAAGTTGTTAGCAGGCAAAACCAGGTAGATCTGACAATAAGGAGACATTAACCATTTCCTAAATATGTGTGGGGTAGAAGGAAAACCAAAATGGCACTTGAATATTGCCAATGACGCACATGGTATCAAATGTCAAACTCTGTGATGCGCGCCTGGGCATTTCTTTCTCTAAAATGTCACTGCTGTCAGAATCCCCATAACTGTTATTAATGCCATGAAATGACCTCTGTTCTCAAGGCTTTTAATTGAAATGTGTAAACAAGACCTATGATTCCTGGATTTATCACTGGGTGAATCTGCCGTAGGTAAAAGTGCAACGTGAGTCCGTTTGCAGCTGCTCGGGCAGCCAACCCCAACACTTAGATTCCTCTCCTCTGCCACCCTCTGCCTGTCGTGTCATCTGAAATGGGAAAGGAAAGTATTTTTCTAATATGTTGGCAAATAATAATCACCCTGCTGGGGTCATAATCTCTTCTAGTAGTGAAGATATGTGTCTTTTTCTTCTGATCTATAGGAATACAATACTCAGTAACTTCCATCTTATGTTGTGGCTTTTAAATTTTGACTTTTAGTTTATTGCTGACTGCCAACTTAATGTTATGTGAGACTGGCAATAGCCACTGTCAATAGCTTTCAGGAGCAACATTGGGCAGAAATGGCACAGTAAAATTCCTTGTTTGGTCACAAAATTCTGGAGGGCGGTTCAGAAGGTTGCACTGTTAACCAATAGAATGTACAGGAACCTCACTTGGAGAGAACTGAGGGGGCAGGGGGATATGGGAATGGAAGTATCAATTTTATTCTCTGTAACTGGGGTTCACGTCTGTGGTCTCTCCACAATGAAATTAAAGGAGTGTCTCTGAAGCTTGCACAGAACTGTGTCCTGTACAAAGCGCTTTAACCATATATTTGCTCACCTCTGATGCTGCAGCAACCGTTTGTGGTAGACTGGGGATGTACTTACTATTCTAGAGATTTCTCTCATGAGAATAGTGGATATCAAGGTTAGTGCTGGAGCTCAGCTCTTTGAAATACAACACTCACCTTCATCACAATGACCTTGAAATAGCAAATATTTTCTGGTAATGGGTTACAAAATACACATAAAAAAAGGCCTACAAGAATGCTTAGCACATTAGTAAGTGGCCAGGGTTAGTTATTCTTATTGTAACATTAAGCATGCCTTGAGATGGCAGAACATGTATCATACATTTGCATCACATTTACGCCACAAATTATGGACCTCTGATAATTTATGGTGTCTTAGGGGTTAAGAAACTATTTTTAGAAAAATTCAATGGGAGACAACTGATTTCCAATAAGCCCTTGCCATGCTGAATGGAGGTGTAGTGAAGCAGAACTCTATAGAAGACTTAGGTTCAAATAACTACTCTTCTGGGAAAGGGCCTGAGACTTTCATGCCTCAGTTTCCTAATCTGTCATACGATTGTTGTGCAGAGTAAAAAAGAAATAGCATATGCCCATTATTTAGCACAGTGAGTGCAATACTAAATATAGGCACTAAATAAATGGTGTCATCCTCTGCATCCAGTCTTCTAGCAATTCTGTTGCAGGCAATGAAGTTTCTGATAATAAAATCTGTTGTGGGATGCATCCTATTGCCTAACAAAGTATATCTGTGTGCCTTACTTTGCACAGTTTCATTGAGCAAACATCTGTGTGTCTGCTGTGTACAAGGCACTGTATGTGGGTGGAAGGTGACACAGACATGTATAATGTGGGATACTGCTGTCAAGAAGGTTACAATAGCGTTAGCACAATGATTCTCAACCAAGGGTGGTTTTGTCCCCCTAGGGGACATCGGGCTGTGTTTGGAGATATTTTTTGTTGTGATGATGGGAGGGGTAGGGAGCTGCCACTGGCATCTAGGAAGTAGAGACTGGAGATGTTGTAAACATCTCACAATACACAGGACAGCCCTCCCACCCCCTGCCCCACCATGCCTGCACAAAACTGATAGTTCTGTGGTTGAGGAACCTTGTACTAGGGGCCACAGGCCATGGGCAGTAACTAATTAACAAGAGAGAAAATGTCAGGCTCTATTGGTAAAGCAGGTGGTGCCATTTGTGGTGGGATTCAAATGTAGACCTGTGGACGTTTAATGTTTTTGTCAGATGGGGTCTTGCACATAGTCACGGGGTCCAAGGACAGTTTTTTAGGACTTTACATGGTGAAATTTGTGTCCCTACCAGACCAAAGGCCTACTATGCCACATATACTCATATTTTTTTAGAAACCTTGCAGGTATTCTCTGTGGTATTTTTAGTTTTAAAAGCATTAATTAAACATTTAAAATAGAGTACGCTACAATTTTTGTATCACTCTCTTGGCAATTTTACATATTTAAAAATGCCCCGATATAGATAATTATCTCCCACCCCCAAAATAGAAGAGGTGCATTGTAACAGAATTAGTGGTAAACATTGTAACATTAATAATGCTCGATTGGTATTTTTTGAGTTCCTACTACTAGCTACACACTGTTCTAAGTACTCTAATATTTTAAAATCTTTTCCAAAATCCTAAGTGGATAGATTATTAGTACTCCCATTTTACTGGCGAGGAGGCAGAGCAACTGAGGAAGTTGCTTAGGGCCACACAGCTGTAAAACGGGAGCCAGGCCGTCCGGCTTCGGAGCCTTCACTGCGAAACCATATCATGTGTGTTTGTCTTGTCTCCCCAGTGGCCTCGCAGCAAGCGCTCGAGCGCAGGGCCATCCACCCTCGCGCACACGTGTTCACCCTCCCCGCCCGTGCCCTGCACCCCGGGCGCCCAGCACCTGCCGGCGGCCGCGGGGCGGGACGGGGTCGCAGTGCTCCAGGCCGGCCGCGCGCTAGGTGGCAGCAGAGGGCGCGGCGCGGGGCGCGACCGCGGCGCTGTCCCTCTTGGCGGGGCCGGTGGGCGGGGCGCGCGGGGTCGCCGCGCTCGGCTCTGCCTGTGGGAGCCGCGGGAGGCGTGCGGGCAGAGCAGCATGGCGGCGGCCGCGGGCGAGGCGCGCAGGGTGCTGGTGTACGGCGGCAGGGGCGCGCTGGGCTCCCGATGCGTGCAGGCGTTCCGGGCCCGCAACTGGGTATCGGCGGGCTGCGGGGAACGGGTCTCTGCCGAGAGGGCTCCGCGGCATCTTCGGGTTGGGTGGCGCAGGGCACGACGGTGACTGGGGGCAAGGGGACCTTCCGGTGCGGCCCGGGAGGGCAGTCCGGAGGAAGCTGGGAGCCCGTGTGCACCCCCAGACCTGGGTGCTTGCACGTGCATGCACAGGTCTGCACGCCTGTTCCTGTCCCCGAGTGCGTGGCACGTCCGGCCACGGGGGCCTGGCCTTTCCTCTGCAAGGAGGGTGGTGGTGGGGAGCTGCTCCCTCGGCTTCCGTCAGGCCCAGAAAGTCGGGTATGACTGAGGAGAGCATTCCAGGAGGGGAGGTAGAAGGGGTTGTGAGGGGACAAGGAGAAATGTGTGAAGGCAGGCTCCGGAATTAGACACGTGCGTAGTGGAGTTAGACTGCCTGGCGTGGGTGACTAGTCCTCTGATGGAGAACTGATTGCTAAACGCCCTCAAACCTGTTTCCTCACCTGTAAAATGGGGATAATGATAGTATTTCCACAGGGGAGTTGTACGGAGCAAATGACTTAATTGGCCGTGTATGTTACCTAATCATGGGAAAAGCTGTTTAAATGTTAGCTACTATTACCATTACTACCCCTGTTCCTTTAGCCTGGGTTGGACTCCATACTTGAAGACTCAGCCTGGCAAATGCTGGTGGCTTTTGAACTGCTTTGCACAATCTGCTATGAAAAAGGTTATGATGAGTGGTTGCTGAGCTGATCCCCAGCCACCAGCAGGACTCAGAGCATACCCAGGGTAGTGGGGGTGGAGGAGGGGGAGGCTCCGCCCTGTGTCTTCTTCCTGCAGCTGTTATTGTTCAAAGTCCACACAGGAGCTCTGGCGAGCTTTCCCCAGAGGTTTAGTTTGGTAGCAGCAGCAATCAGGGCAAGGATACCTTGGCAGGGAGAAAGGGTGTCAGGATTTTCTTCTGGCTCATAACCTAGCACAGAAATATGCCTCTGAGGGATCTAAACACACCATCTTCCTCCTGCCATCCACCTGCTCAGAACCTAGGAAGACTGTTCTAAGCATCTGCAGAGATGGATGGTGGTGACAATGGGAACATTTAAAGAGTGCTGGCCAAGAGCTAGCACCATGGTCCTATGTACCAGGGGCCACGCACTCCATTTCATTTCCTCTCCCCCGTGACTTTAATACAGTAGATCCCGTTGGTATCTGGGTGTTGCAGGTGTAAAGGCTGTGCTTCCCCCTCGTGAGGTCACTTTAGTTCACCTCTGACTTGGCAGAATCTGGCAAACTGATTTACTGTGACTCTTCCCCAACCCCATCAATCCTGGGAGCACCGGGATACACCCTTTCCTTTGTCTTAGTATCTCCCATGGCTAGTGCCATAGAAGTAGTGAGTGGTCTTGAATGAATGCCATGTTCTTCAAAGCTGGTGGTAGGAATGTTTATCTCTGTGGCTTTCTGACCACAGGGTCCTGGAACTTTCTGAGTAAGAACTGTGTGTCACCTGTGTAGCAATCTCCAATTCATTTAATTCTCACACTAACCCCGCAAGTTCCCATTTTACAGGTGAGGAGCCTCTGCATGCAGAGTGTGAGGTCGGGGAAGCAGCTGTGTAGCAGAACTAGGATTCAGACCCTCATCTGTATGATTTCTAAACCTAAAGCCATCCCTCTGTGCTTTGCTGCAGGGTGGAGGGTTCTGAAAACTCGAGTCTGCCATGGGCTGAATCCAGCCTGCCATCAGTTTTTGTAGAGCCCAAGAGTAAGAATGGTTTAAAAAAAATCAAAAGCAGAATAATATTTTGTGATGTGAAAATTATACGAAATTCATATTTCCATGTGTGGAGTTTTATTGGAACATAGCCACACTCATTTATCTGTTGCCTGTGGTTGCTATCCCACTGCAATAGACACGAGCGGTTGTAGCAGGGCCCAGATGGCCAGCAAAGCCTGAAATATTTACCGTCTGGCCCTTTACGGAAAATGTTTGCAAACCTCCGATCCAGGGGTCTCTGGAAGTGCATGCTTTGGCCTTCAAGGGTGATAGTGGAAGAGCAAGAGTGAGATGAGGTGTTTGGAGGCAGAATGGGCTGGGCTGGGGCTCAGTAAGGGGTTAGGCTGGCCAACGGCAAGCATCCTATAAGGCGTGTGAGAGGTCAGTTGCTAGAGCCTTTCTCTAGTGGGTTTTCATTTAAGCCTCTTATCTATCTCCACTCACCACATTTCTGAGCTGGGATCTTTAAAGGAATTACAACTTACTATCTCTTGATCAAAGCTATTTTCTCCTTTGCTCCAGTGGGTCGCCAGCATTGACGTGGTGGAGAATGAAGAGGCCAGTGCGAGTGTTGTGGTTAAAATGACAGACTCGTTTACTGAGCAGGCTGACCAGGTAATTCCGGCTAGGGTCCCACTAGGCATTGTGGGAACCCTGAAGAGGGGTTTCCACTGGCAATGTGCTCTTCTGTTTTTTTAAAGTATTTTTTCTCTGTTTATTAAAGCCATTCGTGTTCACTGAGGGAGGTTTGCAAAAAGAAAAAAAAAAGATGATAAATATCTGTGATTTATTTCTGGTTAGCTTACTGTCTTGCCGATGGGTTTCAGCTCTGGGCAAGGTCACTATGGATTCAGTGAGACCAAAAAATGAGAGTGGAATTTTCTTGGGGTGAAAGGGTTATACCCAACTTTATTCCCATGGTGGCAGGTCAATCACTAAAATCCCATCCACCCAGAGTGAGTCTGCAATGCAGCAGACCGGTCTCTGCCTCTCAGTTTCCCTACCCGCGCAGCTGTCTCGGTCTCTGTCCTTGGCGCTGCTACCACTCCAGCCTCTATTCTGCCCTTCAGCAGCCTTGCAGCCATGCCACCATGTCACCCAGAGCACTGGGCAGAGCTCTTTATATAGAGTCCATAGCAACATACTGCCCACACGTGTGTAGTGAGCCAGTCAATCAGGGCCAGGTGAGAATCCTGGCCACAGGAACCTTCACTTTATCCACACTGACTGTTCACATTTTGGCCCATTTTCTTGTCTTTCCTATGCTTACTATATGTTATTAGTTTTACAAGTTAAGATAAGCTTATTTTATGTTTTATTGTCAGCCTTTAACTTAAAAAAAATTTTTTTTTATTAAGGTATTATTGATACACACTCTTATGAAGTTTTCACATGAACAGACAATGTGGTTACTACATTTACCCATATTATCAAGTCCCCACCCACCCCCAATGCAGTCACTGTCCATCAGTGCAGTAAGATGCTACAGATCCCCTATGTCCCTTCTCTGTGCTACACTGTTCTCCCCGTGATCCCCCACACCATGTGTACTAAACATACCCCTCCATCCCCTTCTCCCTCCCTCTGCCCCCCACCCCTCTCCCCTTTGGTAACCACTAGTTCCTTCTTGGAGTCTCTGAGTCTGCTGCCATTTTGTTCCTTCAGTTTTGCTTCGTTGTTATACTCCACGAATGAGTGGTCAGCCTTTAACTTAACATTTAAATACTTCTCCAGATCACTTGAAAAAATCTCCTGTGTTGATACATGATTTTTAATTTTGTGGGTTGGTTTCAATCTCCTTATAGTTTCTACTTATTATACATTTTAAGTTTTTTTGCAGTTTTTTGTTTTTACCATTACCAGGAATGCTGTGCCGAGCATCTTTGTCTCCATCCCTGGTTATTAGGATACATTGTGAAAAGTGGAGCTCCTCCATTCAAAAGCATGCATATTAACAAAACAGGATATTTTAAATTATAAAATGATATGCTTATTGTAAAACAAGAATTCAGACAAAACTCTATAAATACACAAATCAATTGTGAAATATCCCGGTTTCTCCCCACAAATAGTGTCACTCTGCAGAAGGGAGCACTGTTAAAAATCCAGGTGGATATCTTGGTGTAAGTAGCTCCTCCATTCCCTGTCCATTGGCCAGTGAGTGAACTAGTGACAGGCAGGCAGTGAACACGTGGAAGAGGCACTGACTGATCTACAGACAGTCACTGGACAGAGCAAAATTTAAGGGGGAGGAACTTTAATATTCCTCATTTTAATTTTATTAGAAAAGTAAAGCATAGATGTCATAAAACAAAATGAAGTGGGTCCCATGCTTCCTAAGGAGTTGAACACAGGCTGTGTGTACACACAGACATCGTGGGTGATGATCCAACTCCTGGCAGCTGGGATCTGGGCCCTTGACAGCAGGGCCTGGCTAAGAATGAAGAGAAGGGTCAGCGGGCAACCAAGGGAACAGGAAAGTGGTCAACGAAAGATAAATCAGGATTAGGTGAGATTCTCATGAGTAGAGGCCAAGAGAAATTCAGGGTTCTTCTTAAAAGGAAAGCTTTAGGTGTGGAGTGTAGGGAGAGAAAAGACTGGTTTCCATTGCCAAGTCTTTCTCTTTGAAAGAGTAATTTGAGGTCAGAGAAATTGCTGGAGGGAGAAGTCATGGACTTAAGTACTGCTGCTGGGTAAGACGTGTGTTCTTGGCTTGTCTTACGAAGACTGATGTTAATGAAGCAATTGGAAGGTGTCATCTCAGCCGTTCCGAAGAAATATGGAAAAGGGTTATGGTCGATGGCCAAAATTGTCAGTGTGGCTAGATTTTTGCTTTAATAATTGTAACAAAAGAACATGTATACATTTTCAACACTAAAAATTTCAGTCAAACAAAAGTAGAGATAATTAAAATGATCCCCTGTGTACTCAATATTTACCAACATTTTGTCATTGGCTGTGTTTTTTTATAGCTCTTAAAAAATAACTTTGGCATTTTCTTTTGGAGTTGCAGTTAAACTTTTTTGTACTGGGGGGACAGTAGAATTGATTATCTCTTTCATCTCATATGATTCTGTGATTTGCAAAGAAAGTCTGAAGAGAGATATATCACAAGGGTAGCTGGGGTGTTGATGCTTAAGTGATCCTTTTTTAGACTTTCTACTTTTGTTTATTGATTGTTTTATTCCCCCGGTGCTTATATTCCAACCCTTTAGAGCATTCAAAAGAAGACTCTAGATTGCTTTATAAAAATCACATTGAAATGCAGTTGGGCTTCACTTTCCAAAATGCTTACTGTAGATTGGTCCTAAGTCTAATTTTCAGTGTTAAGTGCTAAGTACTGTTAACTGACTTAAATGGTAGCAAAAAACAAACAGAGGTCTCTGCAAAGATGTTAGCCTGCTTAGGTTTACCTGACAGTTTATACAGCTTTTTGTCTGTTTTCATTTAAGGTGACCGCTGAGGTGGGAAAGCTCTTGGGTGAAGAGAAGGTGGACGCAATCCTTTGTGTGGCTGGAGGATGGGCTGGGGGCAACGCCCGATCCAAGTGTGAGTCACTCGCTGAGTTAATCATTCCTTGCACTCGGCTGTTTGTCCCTCTGGCCTGGACTGGCTTTGTACTATGTGCCGGGCCCGATGTTTTTCTGTGTGTCTCCCAGAATCTTTACAGTAGCTCTGGGAGGTGAGGACTAACACTCCATTTTATAGCTGAAGAAAATTCTTCCCATAGAGGGGACTTTAGCGGAGGGGTCATGGAGTCTGAAGTTTAAAATGAAATCAGCATTGTTTCCACCCCAATCTCACAGGGCCTATTCACTGGAATTGGGGGTTGTGTATGAAATGGAGAGCTCCTTCTGAAGGTCGGAAGGACTCAGAATCGAGCTTTTACTCAAGCCAAGTGCATTTTTCAACTTTTTATTATGAATGTTATCAACAACACGGAGAACTTGAAAGAAGAGTCCAGGAACCCCCTGATGCCCTCCCTCTGGAGTCAGTAATTGTCACCATTTGCCATACTCACGCTCCCTTGCATGTGTTATTTTTTTGTTAACCATTTGAAACTAAGTTGACACTTCCCTGCATTTTAGCATGCATCCCCAAAGATGAAGTCTATTCTGTATTATCATAATATTTTCATCCCTAAGAGAATTAACAGTAATTCTATAAGATTAATAATAAGCCCAAATCCCCCAATTTGTTCCATGTCTTCTATAGTTGTTCTTCCCCGTATATGTTTTCCGAGCCGGGTTTATACACTGCATTTTGTTGGTATTTTTAGTCTCAATCTAGAATTTTCTTTCCTCTGATCAACTTGGTGAGTCCAGGAAAGTTTTCATATAGAATGTCCCACATTCTGAATTTGTTGAATGGTTTCTTTAAAGTATCATTTACCTTGTTCCTCCGCCCCTGGTATTTCCTGTGAGTTGGAATTTAGATCTAGAGACTTGCTTAGAGTCAGGTTAAATATTTTGGAGGCGAGAATTCTTCCTGAGTGATGTGTTCTTCATATTACATCACACTGGGATGCTCACCATGTCAGATCACCCTCCCCATACACGGTGATACCAAATTTGATGTTCTGTCAAGGTGTTAGCCAACAGACTTCCATTGTAAAGGTGCGTCTTTCTGTTTGCAGTTAGAAAGTGATCTGTGGGATGGCACTTTGGCATCATGTTTGAATATCATGTTTCCAAACACCGTGACAGTCTCAAATTCCCAAAACTAATGCATTCTTGGACTATCCCTGACTGACCCAGTTATCCCAGTGGGGGTTGGGAAGTGGTGGTTTTCTAATTCTATCATTCCTTCCACACTTACTAGTCAAAGCTATTTAAAAGGGAATTGATATTCTGTGAACTACACTTAAACATGAAATGGGTATTTTTTGGGGCAATCAGGTTGGCAGAACACACTAACCGCCTCTTGTGTATTTTGGGAACAAGAAGTGATAAATGTGGATCCATCCTTTTTTTTTCCCCCTAGCTCTTTTTACCTGGAAAATGTGACAATTGGTTGTCACCTGCTGAAGACCCCTCTTCCTGTGTCTTTCTTTCTGGGTCAAGGGCATAGTTTCACTGTGTTCTGTGTGCCTTGTAAGGGAGGAAGGGGACAGGTGTCCAACTGAGGATGTGACACACATTGCCACTTACTCCTCCCCAGCAGGCTAACGTAGGGTGAAATGGTTGGTATTCCAGCTTTCTTTGAAAATCTTTAAAGCCAGTATTAAACTTCCAGCCATAAAAAAATGTAGCTCTGTCAAAGCCCTCTTTATGTCCATATGGTAATAGTCCCTCTGGTTTTCATCATGAGTAAGACCGACATAGACAAATAGATTATTACAAATCTAATGCCCTTCATAAAGTAGAATGATCTTTGAAAGGAAGCCAGTCAAGCATACCTGTTAACAGTCCTTGGGTTTTGGGGAAGTGTCACCGGTTACAGCTGAGGAAGCGGCCACTCGGTGATCACGTGGTCTGGGCTGGAAACCCCGTCCCTTGGGCCCTGGGCTGTTTGTATTAGGTCTGTGGTAGACAGAGGCCAGGCTGGCGGGGATGGCCGGGAGTACGTGCTCGAGTGCCATGCACCATGAGCCAGCCAAGCTCACCCTGCAGTTTCTTCACTGCAATGCTGAGCTCACATGGTGTTTTTTTTACTCAGCTCTCTTTAAAAACTGTGACCTGATGTGGAAGCAGAGCATGTGGACGTCAACCATCTCCAGCCACCTGGCCACCAAGCACCTCAAGGAAGGGGGCCTCCTGACCTTGGCCGGTGCCAAGGCTGCTCTGGACGGGACTCCAGGTAAGCCTTCTCTTCTTCGTTCCTGGGAATCGGGAATGCTCACGCCTGCCTGCCGGGGCTGCTGAACTCTCCCATGAAGTGAGGAATACCAGAGCCCTTTGACCTTTGCTTTACAGTTTAGATTTTGCTTCCATTCAGCCCTGAATCTTTTTAGGGGAAGGACTCCTGATGCCTTCATTTGTGTCATCCTTCCGTTGATGGTGGTTAAGGAATACTAGAATCTGACGCCCGCTACCAAAACTCCACAGTCTGGTTTATTTATCTATGATCTACCCAGGAGTGGATGGTGTTGTAGTACATACTAATTAGTTAATAACCCTGTATTATTATCATCATGTGCTCATGTGTCCCAGGGAAGCTGCTGGGGCCCTGGAAACAGTGTGGGCTGGGTGAATTCATCACCTTAGTTGTGTGTGGCTCTGAACAAATTATTTGATCTCTTTGACCAAATTTCTGCACAAGTTTCCTTAATTGTAATATAGTGATGCCAACATTGGTCTTGAAGAGTAGCTGTAAAACCTTAGAGGTATTGGTATGTATAAAGGGCCCAGCTCATTATAAGGATTATTAGATTCACTCTTTTCATTTCACATGTAATCCTCATCTAATCTTTGGGTAGATGTCATTATTATCTTTTTTGTTTGCAGGCAAGGAAACTAAAATTTAGAGAAGTTAAATAACTTGTCATTACTCAAAACAAGTAAGTTGCAAACTCACTTTGATTTAAAACCCTGACCATTTCTAAATTGTTTGCTTTTTCTATTACATCACACAAACCCAGGTTTCCTTTGCATTTTTACTCCTGTGTCAGTTTCCCGGGACTGCTGTAACAAAGTGCCACAGCCTGGGGGCTTAAACGACCAAATCTGTCCTCTCACAGTGCTGGAGGCTAGACGTCCACAGTGCTGGAGGCTAGACGTCTGAGATCAGGGTGCCGGCAGGCTTGATTTCTTTCTGAGCCTCTCTCCTTGCCTGCAGTTGCTGTCTCTCCCGGGTCCTCACGTGGTCCTCCTCCTGTGCATGTCTGGGTCCTAATCTCTTCTTATAAGGACACCAGTCACATGGGATTATAGCCTACCCGTATTACCTCATTTTAAGTTAATCACCTCTTTAAAGTCTCATCTCCAAATGCAGTCACATTCTGAGGTGTTGGGGGGTCAGGAATTCATAATGAATTTGGGAGGATACAATTCAGCCTTTTGCTTTTTCTTTGGGGTAAGGCTAAAGGAATATAAGTTGGGTGGGGGACAGCACAGGGAGGCAGAAAGTGTCTACATGCACTACCTAAACTCTTAAAAAATAACTTTTTTGGGACCTCTTTAGGTAAGTGGTGGAGACCTTGAGTGCCCATTTCAGTTTTAATGTAACCCACTGAGCTGTGAGGCTCTTACAGATTAACAGTTCTTGCCATTCATTTTCTTATTTGATTTCTCAGAACTTTGATCTTAGAAGTCCATGGCTATTGCAGTAATTAAAGCTGTGTAAATGTTACATGTTAGTTTGGTTGAGATCTGATTTTTATTAAAGGTGACACTAAAAAGTGTCACCCAGAGGCACTAGAAAGTCAATAAGAAAAATGACTAACAGCTTGACATTTAAAAAAGAAAACCCAAGGGCTGAAAGACTGTTTTTCTAAGGACAGAAGAGTTTTTTCCTTTCTTCTGATTTTAAATATCTTACTACACAGGTTGGCTTTTTATTGTGGTTTTGCCACTTACTTGCTGTGCAGTATTGACAAGTTACTTAACCTCTCTGAGCCTCAGTTTTGTCATCTGTAAAATGAGGATAAATAATGATGCTTCCTTTATATGGTGACTGAGACTTGGATGTTAATGGTGGAGAAGGGTATTAGAGTCAGTAGTAAATGTAAACTTTTATTATTATTTACTCCAGACTTACTTTTGCCCAGCTACTCCTGCTTCAGATGTTAGTAAGTTTGTTCATTGTTAAGTTCTTAGATGTTGTTAAACTTAGTTGAGTCATAGAAACTTTTAACTTTGATTCAGACCCCAGAAGAATCTGGGGAAATCTGTTTATAATTTGAAAGTTAATGATGAACAGGCTTAGAAGTCCTTCAAACCCAAGGAAAGTTGCTCAAAAGTAGAAAGTTTTTCACTTGGAAAGATGCTAGGAAAACCCCGTCCTCCTATTTCTAACGTTGTATTTGCAGACTGTCCACTGGAGGATAAACTATTAAATGATGGTGATCACTTTTGTTTACCATTTAGGGATTTGCACTGTGTTTGAAAATCCGTCCTTAGGGACCACATTGATCATTTATAATTGGGGGGAAGTATTTATCTTCTTAATGAAATGAATTTTTTTCCCCTTACCTGCATTGTGTAGAGATTGCTAGAACTGAAGCGTTAGGGCTGCTGGTAGCCTGTCACTTGCTTCCTTCTTCTTCAGATTCCTGCTGTCACATTGTTTGAATTGAATGAAGCGTGGGCCCTGGGAGTTTGCTGGGCTTAATGAATGAGATTCTTGTGCTGGTTTATTTTAATCACTGCCCATTTCATAAGATCTTTTTATCACGGTTGGCTGCCTGCCCCTGATTAAGCAGAAAAGCCAGAGATGGTAAAATATTCTTCTTGTGTTTCTAAATAACTTTTTGAGACCTTGACCCTCTTTTGCAATTGTAGGTCGCTGGTGAAGTGCTTAGTGATTGGCTCCTGTCTGGGCGGGGGTCGGCGGGGGTCCACACCTCCCTGCAGACCTTTGTTGCCTTTTCACCTGTTATTCTTCATACAGTGGGCAAGCTGGGTTTTTAGAAGGCTGCTGATCTCTGGAGGATATAGTGGTTTTCTGAAGGAAGGAAAATATTTACAGCAGTTAACCCTTCTTTGCTGTTGAGTGAGCATCTGCAGCAGGGTGCTGGGGGGACTATAGAGAGGAGAGAGACTCCGCACTGCCACTTGTCTGTGGGGCAGATGGAACCCTGTCCTAATATGTGGCGTGCTTCAGTCAGCCATATGCTGGCTGGTGGGAGGAAGGGAAGACCCCTAGGTAGCATTTTTACTTATGCCAGAGTTGATCAGATGGTTATGCTTCACACAGGGTGCTGGGCTCCAGGGCACATTATTCCTATTAATTTGATGGGAAACATGAATTGATCACCCAGCCTGTGCTGAGCCCAGAATCAAGTTTACTTTATTCCCATTGTACAGATGGGATAACTGGGGATTAGAACAGTTTTGAGAAGCTGACTAGGATTTCTTTAGTGGCAAGTGGAAGAGCTGGGGTTTGAACTTGTGCAGCATGACTTCGAAGTCTGCACTCCAGATGACTGTTCAGTTTTGTTCACAAGCAGATACCCATCCAAGGGTTCAGAGCCAGCTCTTGCCTGGCCTTTAACCTCTCAGTCAACCTCAGTGCAAGTCTGTGCGTGAGCCTGGGCACATTACTCACTCTGTCTGAGCCGCTGCTTCCTCAGCAATAAAAGTAGGATCCACCTCATAGCTTCTGTGATAAATGTTAAGTGCCAGGCAAATAGTAGGTGTGCTGGAAATGTTATGTCCTCTTTCTCCCCATAGGTGCCCTCCTTCTCTTCTTCCCAGCCTCCTCTGGACCCTGGTGTGGTGTTCTTTGGACACACCAGTGGTGGCCAGTCCCTGAACTGTCTTCTCCCCGTCTCCCAGGGATGATCGGCTATGGCATGGCTAAGGGTGCCGTTCATCAGCTCTGCCAGAGCCTCGCGGGGAAGAACAGCGGCATGCCGTCGGGGTCTGCGGCCGTCGCCCTGCTCCCGTAAGTGCTCAGGCTTCTGGGGTGCCGCCCACCTCGGCCTCCCTGCTGAGAGCTCACGTTTGTCTTAGAGTTGCTTCCCACCAGGGACTTCTGTGTGCTGTCACTTTGGCTTCTACGACCCCCAGATGCCCCAAGGATAGTTCTTTGGGGTTAGATTACTCTGGGCTGTCCAGAGAGGTGATGGGCTGATGGGGTGGGTCTGTCTTCTTGCCTCTTTTTTGTTTTCTTTTCTTCCCTCCATCTGCCCCTAGCTCCTTATTTAAAGCAGTCTGTGCATTTTACATTAATATTTGTAGTTCTGTCTTTCAAGCCATATGAGGCCGGTGTGGAAGAGAGACTGTATTTAGTCTTTGTGGTTTGTGTGTGTGGGGAGGGGTCTAAGAAGCTGGGGGGCTGTGGGGGACAGTCCTGTGGGTGGTCAGGAGCAGGGCCCTCTTCCGCTGTCCCAGGTGAGGCAGCTGTTCTGGAGATGGAGTTTCTCCTTGCTGGAAGGATTCCAGCACCAGCTGGTTTGCGTCTGGCCTGTAGTCTAGTAAAGCTGACATTGGGACTGCGCAGGGACTGGATTTTCCAGTTTCCTGCCATTTGTGAGCTTCTGTGACTTGGTCCCACAGCTATTTTGAATGATTCCCAAAGCCTGAGTATTCTTGGGAGAGTCACACATATGAATTTTGTATTCTCTTGCTGCAAATCATGAGGTTTCATAGAAATCAACAAAATGAAAGATGAGGTGGTCCTTTCCCCCATATTTAAAGGAATTACACTTAGAAAATGCTGAGCATGGCGTTGGCCACATTTAGGGAGTGAATGAAGACATAAACAGCAAAGCACTTTACTTCAATGAAGACTATATTTTTAAAAAGGCAAAATGTGGCTTTCATTTTGTTCCTGTCTGCCTAAAGGGTAGGTCGCAAAGCACCTCACTGAATTATGCTCAGATGTGATTTCTGTATGATGGATGTGGTTGGCTTCCTGGCCTTTCTCTGATTGTCCTCGTGGTCGCCCACATCAGCACTGCCACCTCTGGTGCCACAGGTGCGTTTTCGTGGTCCAGGAGGAGAAGGCAGCTGTTGTCACGAAGGCAAGGCACACATGACAGGCTTATCTCTGTGCACGGCAGGGTGACCCTGGATACGCCGGTGAACAGGAAATCGATGCCTGAGGCCGACTTCAGCTCCTGGACACCCTTGGAGTTCCTAGTGGAGTGAGTATTGCAGAAACATCAGTGACTAAGCACTTTCCAGCCCCTGTTCTCTGCCTTTTATGGGCTAGAAGACAATCCCAGGTTCTCTTGGCTTATCAGCACGGGTGGTCTTGTGAGGGCCTTCAAGGGTGCACACACATTAGTGTGATCTCAGAGTAGAGGAGGGACCCCCCGACTCACCAGCTGACCAGCCTGAGCATGTTGTTTAACTGCTCTAGGCCTCAGTTTCCCCATCTGCATAATGTGGTCTGTAATCATTGTGAGGAGGAACGAATGTCAGTGTGTGCCGAGCACTTGGCACAATGACTGAAGCAAGTGCTTGGTAGACCTCAGCTCCTTTGGTGTCATTATCTCTGTTAATGAGGAACAGCTGTGGGGGCACCAGGCTGATCAGGGTGACCATCTGGGCTCACGTGTCTAAATTAGTGCTGAGCGAGCATCCTTTGCTCTTGAAACTAGATTCATCCGTTTGTGAATGTGAGTGGCATTTGATGGTCATGGAGAAAGGGTGAGCCTTGTTGCTCTTTGTATTTGTCTAAATCTAGACCAAAGCCCTCTATTTAGTAAGCATGCATTCATTGAGCACCCACTGTGGGCCAGATGCTGTGCTGGGCCCTGGGGCAGCGTGGTGAATAAGGTGGTCCCTGCCCTCACCCAGCAGGTGACCACCTCACCCAGCAGTGCCAGTGTGTCAGCCACTTTGACAGCTGTTTGTAAAGTTTGGGACATGCTTCTGGCTTGAGGTTACATCTCATGTAAACTAAATGGAGATATTTGGGACTTTATGTTCAGAACAGGTATTATGTAGCATTTGTTATGTGCTAGGCACCATTTCAAGCACTTCATTACTATTACTTACTGCTCATAACAAACCCTCTGAGGGTGGTGCTGTCATCCTTAAGGGTTGAGGGCTTGGAGGCACAAGGGAAGGGAGCTTGCTTAAGGTTACACAGGAGAGCCAAGGCTTGACCGAGGCAGTGTGGCTGCAAAGTCTGTGGCCTTAGCTACTCGGCAACAGTTATTTCTGCCTGTATCAAGCTTTGAGGTGTGTTTGCATTTGAATTTCTTTTTAAATGCTCACATTCCCAGCACCACATGAGAGAGCCATGGATCTAGGACTTAGATTCTAGATGGAACATCTGTGGTCATGTGTCTGAATTAGTACCAAGCCACAGATCCACAGAGGGTGGGCTGGGGCAGCCACCCTTTCCTCCTGAAATCATGATACCCATTTGTGGTGTTTGAAACTCATATGAAAAGTTAGCATGAAGTTTGCTTCAAAGTGTGAGCACATTCCCTTCTTTGCTACCCGTGGTTAGAATGGCATTCTCTCCTACTCCAGACAGATGGTGGGGATGGAGGAGAAGACAGTTTAAAACATGCATAAGTAACACACGTACCCCCACACATCCAAACGTGACTGGTTCTCTTCGGAGGCATCCCCTAAGCTCGGCATGACATAGTACATAGTTCAGGAAATGTTAGCAATGCTTTGTTTTTTGAGCTTGTTTACTTCCCTTGGTTTGTTCAGTCCTCAGAGTGGAAGCTCAAATGACTTGATAGTTAGACAGCTCTGATCTAGAAGGTTTCAGATCGGTGCTAAACAATATCCCAGGAACTCCCAAGTGCTTCTCAATTAAAGAAAGTCTAAAGACCGAGCTGGATTGTCCAAAGGGATGATGGACTCAAATGTGAATGTTTTCTTTTAAAAATTACCTGCTACTTTTTATGTCTTGTGAAATGCTCAAGCCCATTTTTATTCCTATCTTAGAGGAGATCTTCCCACTCCCTGGCTGGTGGTGGTGCCTCCTCTCACACAGAGCTAGTTAATAAATGCCCCTGTTCTTGGCGTTTAACATAGTTTATTGTAACAGGCTGCTTTTTGTATCTTTTTCCATTGCATGGCTTAGCTGTGGGTGCTCCATAAATGTTTACTAAAAAAAAAAAAATAGAATGAATTGCTTCTCTTTCTTTTAAATTTTTGAGAATATAGCAAAATATAAAGTAGTGTACCATGCGTCTAAATAAAATCTTATTTTATCACATAAAACCATACCACTGTGTTATGAAGGATTCCAACAATGCAAAAAAATACAAAAATGTAGATCAGTGTCCTGCCAAATCCTGCCACTCAGAAATCAGAATGACTACAGAAGTCACTGGGGACCTGCGTGTGCGTCCATGATACCTTGTGGCTTTTTCATATCTGCTGCTTTTCCCAAAACCCTCCTGAAAGCCATTGAGGTGAATATAAGCATGTGTCCAGATTTTTGCTTTTAAAATGTAAAGTTTATCTTCTTTGTTCTAGAACTTTCCATGACTGGATCACAGAGAAAAACCGACCGAGCTCAGGGAGCCTAATCCAGGTGGTAACTACAGAGGGAAAGACAGAGCTTACCCCGGCGTATTTTTAAGCTTCGTCTCAGTGCCTGATAGGCAACTGCCAGAAAAGTTGTTGATCCGTCTCAGTGTGGCCGTGTCCAGCCCTGTGTTTTCTGTAATCCTGCTCATGGTGTAAGATTGAGTCCTGTTTTCTCTCACTAAATGTATTCGTTCTTGTAGGACATTGTTTATGTGAGGTAAAAATGTGTACGGGCGGAGGCAATCTGTGTATAACTGTCAGTTTGGGAGGTTTCTGAAGGGCCTCCTCCTTGTCTACGCCACCTTGAATTCCATTTGAGACTGTTCATCTGTCCCTGACAGCAGTCGTCAACTTGATTAGTTCATAGATTTGTTGATATTGTGGACATTTTGGGGCCTGAGTTATTTTTAAGTGTCATGTTTTTATCACAGATGTAGTTTTTGCAGCCTTGAGTTAAACTGCCTTAAAACTCCTTTTGCGGTGTAAGCAGAACCCTATGGTCTCTGTGAAGGTATCTTTCCCCCGTGCAGTTGCCAAGTGTGCAAGGTAACTGCTTGTGGTTATTTGAAGTTCATCTTCCTAATAAACGCACTTCATTTACTATGTTGCCTTCTTTAATCAGTTGCATCTTATATAACACTGTAGATAAATGTCCTAGAATCATGGGCTGCAAGCTGTCTTTAGTCTGGTTGTCTCAAAAGGGGGTGGACTCAAACCCTGATAAAAGTTTTTATTTAAACACATTACTGTGGTACAGTTCCCTCTTGGGCATACCAGGGTCAAGGTGGTGGGTGGCTCAGTGTATTTAAGAAGAGTGCTCCACGTGACTGACGCAGGCTGTTCTGACTGAGAACTAGTGATCTGATCCAACCTGGTCATTTTACGGACAAGGAAACTGAGGCCCAGAGAGAGAACTTAACCATCCTCATCACCAATAATGGCAGAACTAAGCCCAGAACCCTGGTCGCCCAGATGGCTGCTATTTATAAAGGCCTTTACCGTATGTTTCTTTTTTTTTTAAATTATTGAAATAAAATCCACAAAATACAATTTTAACCATTTTAAAGTGAAAAATTCAGTAGCATTTAGTATGTTCATTATGTTCTGTCGCCACCACTTCTGTCTAGTTCCAAAACATGTTCATCACTCCAGTATTAAACCCATACGTGTTAACAGTTACTCCTTGTACCCCGTTCCTCCAGCCCTTGGCCAACCACCCATTTGCTTTCTATCTCTGAAGTCACCTATTCTGGATATTTCCTGTAAGTGGCATCATGCAATATGTGGCCTTTTGTGTATGGCTTCTCAGCATGTTTTTGAGGTTCAGCTACATTGTAACCCCGGTCAGTATTTCCTTTGCTGTGTAATATTCTGTCGTGTATAAACTACAATTAGTGTATCTGTTCATCCATTGATAGATGTTGGAGTTTTGTTTGTGCTTCTTGGCTGATGGGAAGACTGCTTCAGTGGACATTCATGTGCAAATACTTGGGTACCTGTTTCTGTTGGGTTGGATATATACGTATCTAGGAGTGAGGTTGCTTGTTTATCTGGTACTCCATGTTTAACTATATGAGGTGTGTTTTTTTGATTCTTGACACTACTCTTCAAGGTGATATTATCCAAGTTTCACAGGAAAGAAGGGATCAGCAAGGTAGGACTGTTTGTTTAAAGTCATCGAGTGCTTTGGTGTGAATGTTTGTGTCCCCCACAGAATTCATGTTGAAAACCTAATTCCCAATGGAATGGATGTATTAGAAGCTGTGGCCTTTGGGAGGTGAGCCCTCATGTATAGGATCAACATTCTGTGACGGGCTCCAGCGAGATGCCTTGGCCTTCTGCCAAGTGAGGACATAAGAAATCTGCACCCTGGTCTTGGACTTACAGCCTCCAGACCTGTGAGCAATGAATTTCTGTTGTTTATAAGCCACTAGGTCTTTCGCATTTGTTCCAGCAGCCCGAACGGCCCGAGACAGCCGGTTAGGGGGCGGTGCAGTGGAGTTGGGCCCAGGTGCAGCTGCCTGCAGTGCTCACCCAGTTACTGCACCTCATGGCCCTTCTTCCATCTCGTCCTCCTGAGAGAGATGGCTTCCAGGTTTCAGGTGAAGAACAGTCCCCTGAATTATTGACTTCTGAGGGTGTTAGTTTCAGGAGAGCTGGTCGTTCATTCCATTTAAAAAACAGGCCTTAAAATTGATTAGGTAGGTGTGTTTCTTTTCCTTTCCTCAGGCCTCACAACCTGGTGATGTGCAAAGAGAAAAGGGAGATGGGGGAAGGAAGAGGGGATGGTTATCTCTTACGCTTTAGCCAGTCATTCAACAAGTGATTTTTGAGTGCCGACTATGCAATAGGCACTAACTATGACTTACAGTGAATTAAGTAGACAGACCTGTGCCCGCGTAGAATTTCATTCCAGTGGAGGGAGGGGAGAGCAATAAACAATATAACCTGTGTGCAATGCAGAGTATGTGAAAAGGTGTAACCTGTGGGAAAAAAAGATCCAGGTTGCCGGGGTGGGTGAAGGAGAGTTGGGGAGGTTTGGGGGTTGCAATTTCAGGTAGGGTGGTGGTATGGACTGAATGTGTCCCCCCAGATTCATAGGTTGAAGCCCTAACTCCCAGTGTGGCTGTATTTGGAGATGGGGCCTTTAAAGAAGTAAGTAAGGTAACATGAGGTCATAAGGGCAGGGCCCAGTCCCACATGATTAAAATCCTTATATTAATCATAAGAAGGGGTACTGGAGAGCTCCTCTCTGTCTGCACACGTGCTCTGGAGAAAGGCCATGTGACAGTATAGTAAGAAAGTGGCTGTCTACAAGCTAACAAAAGAGTCTTTGCAGAAACCAAACTGGCCAGCACCTTGACCTTGGACTTCCAGCCTCCAGTAAATAAGCTGCTGTCGTTTAGATACTGTGCTGACTAAGACGGTCAGTGAGAAAGGACCTCATGTGAGATGACATTGAATGAATCGTAGATGAAGTGCAGAAGTCAGCCACCTGGACGCGTGAAGCAAGTATCTCAGGCAAAGGATCCGGGCATCAGTGGCCCCATGGCAGGGGTGTGCCTGGTGTGGTTGAGCTCAACGGGGCCTCAGGCTGGAGTGCTGGGTGGGGTGAGTGAAGGGGCAGTGATGAGATCAGAGAAACGGTCATGTAGAGCAGGGGTTCCCAAACTTGCTGAGTCCAAGGTGCCCTTAGTGTCTTAGTAGTTGTTCAGTGTCCTTATATCAAAGGAAATGCCTACCTGGGTTTTAGAAGTAGTGAGATCCTAACAATTTAATAGTTACAGTCAGACAGATGTTGCTGTGTTAATCCAGAAATTGTAAACTATTCTGTGGTGCCTCTATGAATTCACCATGCTGTCCTGGGGTGCCTAAATGCAGTTGGAAAATGGCAAATGTAAGGTGCGTAGGCCATTTAAGGACATTAGCTCTGAATTTTGGCAGCCGTCATGGGTACCCTGATCTCAGACTTCCTAGCCTCCAGAACTGTAAGAAATTAATTTCTGTTGTTTATAAGCCACCCAACGTGTGGTAGTCTTGGTCAAGCTGCTGAATTGACTAAGACACCAGCAGTACATTAAATGTGTGCAGAGACAGCCAAGGGCTGAAAGCTCTCCTAGAGGTTGGGGAGAAAAGGAAAAATCAACAAAGGGCACTGAAAAGGAACAGAAAATCAAGTAGAAGGAAAACTGAGAATGTGGTGTCCTCGGAGTACAGTGGCACCAGCATATAGAGAAGGAATGAATGAACGGCAATGTCAGGTGCTACTGAGAAGTCAGGAAAGATGAAGGCTGAGATCTCACATCTGGGCTGAGCTCTGAGGAGGTCACTGATGGGCTGACCAGCAGTCTCAGTAGACGAGGTGGGGTAAAAAGTTCAAGGGGGCTTACATGGGCATGGAGGACAGGAGTTGGTGGGCACACAACTTTAACTCAGTGTAGGTGCTGTGCTGGAGTCTTCAGAAATTTATCCCTGAACGAAATCTAGAGCAATTGATGGGGCTTTTGAAACTGCCTTATTCTCGCATATACTCTGTTGCTGAAATCCTTTCTCAGGGAGCAGATCTGGTTCCCGTAATTTGCTCCCTGGTTTATTGAATTTTCAGGCTCCCTGAACCTGAGCTTTCCTGGAGCCCATGTGCTCATTTGCTGCCACACTCCAGACTGAAGCTTCAGGTGGTTCTGCGGTCCACCTGTGCATTCCTGGAAGCCGAGGGGTACGCAGCTTCTGACAGTAGTCCGAGCCGCATGTCACAGGGCTGCAGGGAACTGGGAAGGCACCCACTGCAATTGTCTGTTCCATTAAACACTTGTAGCTTTTCTTTGGAATGTTCAGGAAGAGTGTGACCTACACGCAGAAGCAGTAGACAGTAATTGTTAAAGATAAGAACTCTTGGTGGGCCTGCCTGCATTTGAACACTGTTCCTCCACTACTTGCTGTAGAACCTTGAGCATATCCCTTAATCTCTCCATGTCTCAATCATATGAGAAATGAAACAGTGGTGGCAATGCTCTGCAAGGATTAAACAGATGAATGCCTGCAGAGGACTGGCACAAAGTGCTCAGAAAGTATTTGTCATTCTTCTTATAACTTGTCTCTAGTTTGTATTGGCATATGATGGGAAAATAATAATGTTGTTACCTTTTAAGAGCACATTAGTTCAGTAGTTCAATCAGCTGTTTGTTTAGCACCTTCCATGGTCAGGTACTGTGGGCAGACAGGGCAGGTTAAAAATATGCACTGAATTGACAAATATATACTGACCTACTAGGATTTGCAAAACGCTGTGCAGGCATACAAAGGTGAATTAGAGAGATCTGCCTGAAAGGCATTTAAAGTCTTGTTGGGAGAGAAATAGGAACACAGAATGCTATTGTTTATTGTTTACTGGGCACCAGGAACTTTGATTACATTTTCATCTGATTTCACAATAACTCTTGGTTTTGGTGTCTTGGTTTATTCATTTCCTTACACACTTGCTAGGCTCTCTGCCCAGGGCAGCCCTACCTAGCTGGTGGTTCCTGTGGTCCCAGAGCGAGCCCCTGCTGCCACACTCCCTGGAGACAGCCCTCCTGCACACTGGCCAGTGGGCCCCCAGGGGCTGGGCTTCCCCAGCTGTGGCCTGGAGAGACCTGCAGAAGGGGGCAAGCGAGCTGGGGGAGGAGGATCCTGGAAAGATCTGTGGATAAACACTTCCTCCCTTGGATGGACTTTTCTGAGGTGCGATTATTCATTCAGCCCCTCTGAGGACATCTCGTAAGACCAAGCAACCAGCTGCCCTTGTTACCCAGCTGTGACAGTCCAGGAACACACAGCCTAGGATCTGTTCTATTTCTTCCCTGCCTCACTCCTTTTCCTCTTCATTCCCACTTCCCCAAGATTGCATCACCCCAAAAGAAAGCTTTAGTACATAAGCTTTTCTTTTTCCTTTAAGGAGCTCCCATGATCATGGGATTTTTTTATCTATCTATCTATCTATCTATCTATCTATCTATCTATCTATCTATCTATCTATCTATCTATATCTATCTATCTATCTATCTATCTATCTATCTATCTATCTATCTATCTATCACCTATCTATCTACAAATTTACTGAGATA